TACTCGTTATAATCATTAAAATGATTATAACGATTATACTCATTATAATGAGTATAACGATTATAATTATTATAATCGTTATAATCATTATAATGATTATAATGCCGGGATCCCTTTAAAAGTTAAGGATCGGCCTACCCGAAAATTATGCTGCGGATTGTCCAAATGACCTCAGGCGAGGTCCAGCCTGGTCACATTTCCCGGGTTACAATATAAAAAAAATCTTAGTGTTACATGAATTGCATCAATTCTTAGACGGTTGGTCTTTTAAACCGGGTCATGTTATAATTACAGAATTAGCAATAATGATTAACATAACGTTACACGATCAGGAAAAGTTAAAACAAAGCGTTCGTTTTGAAAATCCAAAAAGTTTTCCTTGCACAATTTACTATAAACCTTACTAAAATCTAACTCTAGTAAGCCCTAACCTAAACGAACTTTAAAAAATTTTATTGATGTAACATTTTTCAAGTTTTCTTCGCCATAGCTAGGGTACTGACCGAAGACATGATAAGTACATACCAATTTTAAGCCTGACTCATAACTATTATCAATTCAATCAAATATGTTGAACCAAGAGCAATATTATGTATAAAAAGCTGGATTCATAAGGAAATATGCATTATCTTTTTTTTTTTTTTTATTAAAAAAATATATTAATGAAATTCTTTAGAATTTTTCTAGGCACACCTATATAATGAATTATAAAAAATTATGTGATCATTTAAGGATCGTAACATAGTTATTAAAATTGGATCCGAGATATATTTATTATCTAGTAAATACAGTTATTGAAATAATTCATAAAAAAAATTCAGTTTAATGTGTAGTCTTACATTTGTATTTATCGTGTATTTTTGATAATTTTATTATGATAATTTCAATTGCTTATATACGATATGATTTAAAATTTTCATCAAAATTGTTAAGACTTTTAAGGACCTTTTTGATGATAACTAAGACCGAACCAAAAACATCAGGGAACTGATCCTACTTAGGTTTAGAGGCATGGAAAATTTTTGTTGTCATTCAAGTAAAGGCTAATAAAAGATAGTAAGCATATGAAATTTTTTTGAGCTTCCCGATATTTTTCTCTTCAATTAAAACTTTTAATACAAATAATAAAATAATAATTCATTAATGCTAATAAATGAAGATTCATGGCAAAGTTACTTGAGCGATCTCTTAAATACTTGATTAATAGTAATTTTCTTAAGAAAGATAAAAAAAAAAAAGTTGATTTATTGCAAAATGTTTGTAAATTAAAATGTCAAATTTTTATTAATAAAAATTTTTTATTTATGCCATAAAACTTTAACAAACTATGCTTCATTGAAAACATTTCTGTCAAGTAAAATTTATTCCCTAACACTTTTGACCATAAGCAATCCGAAAGAATATATTTATATAAATGGTATGCCTAATTCCTATAACACAATATTTTGGAATGTAATTTTATGGTAATTTAATATTAATACTTTTTCTGTAAGTTCTTTCCATTAAGCAATTTTTGAATTATGTCAGAAGTAGTTCTATCAAAGTTATTACTATAAAATCCTAAGAAAGTTATAGCTGTATTTTTATAAAAAGCCTCAGCTAATGCTTTTCCTGCGTCAGAGCCAAGTTTATTGCAGCTAATATCTAATGAAACTAAAGTAGTATTTTTACAAAGCGCATCTGCTAATGCTTTTCCTGCCGTATAATCAAGTTGATTACCACTAATATTTAATAGAGTTAAAGTATTATTTATACAAAGTGCGTTTGCTAAAGCTTTTCCTCCTTCTGAACCAAGTTTATTATTAGCAAGATTTAACGAAGTTAAAGTAGTATTTTTACAAAGTGCATCTGCAAATGCTTTTCCTGCCTCGGAACCAAGCTCATTAATATCAAGATTTAATGAGGTCATAGTAGTATTTCTACAAAGTGCATTTGCTAATTTTATTCCCGTTTTAGAACTAAGCTTATTACCTTTAAGATCCAATGAAGTTAAAGTAGTATTTTTGCAAAGTGCATCTATTAAAATTTTTTCTCCTTCAGAAAAAGGTAAAAAAATTTTTCAAATTTAAAATATTAAAGTAGTATTTTTATAAAGAAATTTTGCCTGTGCTTGAGCTTCTTCAAAATAAATTTGTTTATTTAATAATTCAATTTTTGAGCTAGATATCCAAAATCTGAAATACTTAAAGATTTAAGTTTCTCACATATTCGTAGAATCATCACAATTAAACAATATCTGATTGAATAAGCTATATTTATCTATGAATCATTTATTGAATTATAACCAAGAAATTTTTTAATCCCTTCAATCGTATGAATCTTAATAGATGTCGTATAAGTTAGGTATTCAAATAATGGTTTTGGACCATTTGGAAAAACTACTTTAAATGGAATTAATAATGCTTGTTCTTCTGAGTTTGATAATAAAAGACATATTCTTATAAGTTTCTCATTATAAGAAATATCTATTTCACTCCATAATAGTGGCACAATAATTCTACAACATTGACGGTTTATTAGAAGGCAGGAAATTAAACTTCTATGTTCGTTCTTAAGATTCTTGAATATTTCTGAAAGGCATTCATTAGGTAACCTATTCATTTTAATTTTTGTGAAATATGACAAAAAAAATTCTATCGTTTATCTAACTATCTATCTATATATATATAATCAGCGTTACACGAATTGTTGCGTGATTAATGAATTATGTGATCATTTAAGATCGTAGCACAATGGATCTATATATAATTATAAAAAAATTCGTTAAATATGTAGTCTTTCGGTTTTCACATAACTAGAAATATTTATTTTCCTTTTTTATTAAATTATGAGAAGAAAATCGAAATAGTATTATATATATTTAGAATTTGTATAAATTTTTTAAAACAAAGAGAAAACAAAAGTTCTTAAAAATAATAAAAATTAGGATTTCCGTGCTTATGCTATAGAATGAAACTTTCAGCAAGACTAATTCCTGTTTTCTTTTGCAACAAGTATATAGAGAAAAGAATTAGGACTTAAAGGGTGATCACTTTAAAATATATTTTAAAGCCAACTAGAGTAAAACTCAATCCAATAAACAAAGTTCTAGCTAAAGAAGAAAATCTAATTAATAACTTTTTAATTTATGTATAGTACAATAGACTTATTTTGTTTACACTATTAAAGTAGAAAAAATTTAAAAGCATAAACGGAACCAACAAATAAACACTCAAACTATTTATTAAAACTATTCTTTAAAACTATTCATTAAAACTGAATAATCATTTTCTACAACTTTATTTAGAACATTTATTCTTTTACCTTCTTTTCCATAGCTTTATTTAGAAATTCAAAGGCGGAAATTTAATTAGAAATAATTTTATTTAAAGTCATTTTGGCTTATAGTAAATTTTATAATGACAACTATAATAAATACAATGGTAGTTAAAATGAATTACCAATTGAAATTCTCTTCGTTAGCATTAAAACTATGTTGAGGTCAGATATATATTAATTAAAGCATAAAAGTTATATTTAGATTGAAAGGTGAAATAAAGATTTGAATTTCTTTTGATAGCATAAAAGGTATTTATTTGAAATCTATTAATCTGCAAGAAAAAGAAAATTGAAGTACTTACCTTTATAAAATGTTACATTATGTTGAATGTCGAAATAAATCCAACTATCTTAATAATGTTTGCTGCCAAAGTTTATTTTGTAGTTCTTTTAAATTTCGAATACATTAAATAATGAATAAATATCAATTAGATTTTATTATTTAGTTAGCGTAAAAATAAAATTAAATCAAATCGGTGTAACAATATTCTTGACTTTTTTGGAATTATTGTAACCGTAGTCTATTTTTTAGGAAAATTCTTTGCTCTTTTATAGAATTTATTGATGATGATCATTCTTTATTTAGAAATATTTGGTTTCACAATCTTCAAGTGATTGTAAAAAAAATACTCTAGAGTATGAGTAAAGAACGAACAGAGTATGAGAAGAGTATGAGAAGAGTATGAGCAGAGTATGAGTACAGACATTTCAATAAAAACATAATAAATAATTTGAGATTATTTTCTGGTTTGTTATGAAAAAATGAATATTCCAACTTAATACAATATGTATATTTCTTTGATTTTGAGCATCTTTATCTTTTTTCTATCGGTTTCTTTACCGGCCAGATGCATTGATAATCAAAATTTTAAAGTAAAAAAATTTATTGTTTTTTTTTTTTGTAACCCTAAAATTGCATTTATCTAAGAATATCTGAAGGCGCATTTATTATTAATAATTTTAATTTATCGTATCAACAATAATTTACAACAGATCTGATTTTTAATTTATAATATAGTATGTAACCTTCTTACTTATTATAAATTTGTACTTAAAAAATTAAAACTAATAAATTATATTATGACTAATATAACATTACTAATTATTAATAAATATTTCACAAAATTGATTTACTTAAGCTTTGAATAATTCTTTGTTCAACTTAAATAATTCTTTGTTCAACTTAAATAATTTTTTCTTAATCTGATCTATGAAAAAAATTATTGATCGCGGCTCCAGGTTTTATTCATCAAATGATAACTCTTGATTAATTTATTCAAATTTCAACTAATTAAAATTTTACATCAAATCTATTAGTGACAACCATCTTTTTTTTCATTATTATGAAGAACTCATTTGATTGGCTCCATTTATTAAAAACTAAGTTTCGATTTTTTGATTTAAACACTTAAAAATACCCTATATTTTATTATTAAATCTATACTACTAAAGTTGTTTATTTGATACTAGAAACTTTATAATAATGCTTGAGCCTTACAAATATTTACTTAGCCTTATTTGACTTATCTCATAGCCACATAACTATTCAATCAAGTTATCTAGCTTAAAATAATATTTAACATATATGTATATACTTGTAGAAGAAATAAAATATCAAAATAAACAAAATCACCCTTAGAATACGCCATTATAAATATAAATAACAGAAGCTATTTTATTATAAAAGTCATACAATTAGTTCAAATTCTCTTTAGATATCTATAATTAAAATGGTTTACACCCTATATTTAAATAATTTAAAAAAAAACTAATATAATTTATATGAAACCAACTTAACTCATAAAATCATTCTAATAATTACTATTAAATAACTGTAAAAATTTTTTCTATTTATTTCGAAAAGAATGAAAAGTACTATTTGTAGCAATGAAAAATTGAACTATAAATATTGTAAATAAATATTTTTAAAAATATTATGTAGCTGGTTTTAAAATAACTTCCAAGCCAACTCTAAATAACTATTATAAATAAGATTTTTTGATTTTTCTGTGAATACTTTTGTCTCGAAAAAAAAAATATCTGCACTTTATTTCTCATTATAAATTTTTTTTATTCTATATTGGCCTCAATATTTTGTGCTATTTCTTATATTAAAAATGTTTCTAGTACTAACAAAACTTGTACTGGATCAGCAGTTTATAGAACAGGCGATAATGAATTTAATGAATACAAATTTAAAGCTTTTTTTTCTGATGATTCAGCACTTATTCAAGATATTCAAAAGACTAATATATCTTTAATTATTGGTTGTTTCGCTTTTGAAAGCAATGAACTCTATGTAAGAAAATAATTTTCTTAAAATAAAATAAACCTACCTAATTTAATATAGTACTCAATCTGACTTATTTATATTTATTAAATAATAATAAGTCAAATTAAGTACTGTGTCAAATTAGGTATATCTACCTTATATACTGTATGTATTAAAATAAAAACTTGAAATAAATTTAGATATTGTTTTAATTTATTGTTTATATTAACCCAACTTATGCTATAGTTTAAAATAGCAACAAACTATTATTTTAAGTTTTTACAATATATTACTTATATTCTTTTTTAGGTAATCATTGCTCAGAATACCCTTTTAAATATTTCAACAATTGAAGATAAACCAAGCATTTATGACCTTCCGATATCTTCTGCTTTTGGTATTTTTACTGCACCGATCCAAGACCTATCAGAACCAGAAAGAAATAATGCAGTTTTTAGCTTAAAAAGAGAAATGTATAAAAATATAACCTCGAATCAATTTCTAATATCTATATTATGTAAATATAACCTTATAGGACGTTATCAATTTGTATCTGATGCCACAACTCGATGACCTATTTTCTCAGTTGCTGGTGAATTAGTAACATTACCTGATTCTGTATTTCTCTTGGCTAATATAATTGATTAGAACTATCAAAATTCTAGTACCTCACAAACACAAACAAATTTATTAAACTCCTAATTATATCAACAAAATAAAAAAGCTAAATATGAAGAGCTTGAAAAGATTGCAAAAAAATTTAGCTCAAAAAATACCTCAAAATACACTCAAAAAAGCAACTAGAAAAAAAGAGAAAATACCTCTCTGATTCAAAATTCTGCTGATACTTCGAAAATCAGTAGCTTAAAAAATGCACTCAACAATATTCAAGGTAACTAAATAAAAAATATTACTTACACTCCCAATAACCAAAAATATAGTCATTTAAACACTATGAATATTTAACTTTTGCTTTAGACACTCTAAATTTAATAACTACATATAATATTCAAACAAAAGTCAAATATTTTTAATTTTAGTTATTATATTAAAATAATAACTTTAATCCTATTAAAACAATAAAATATAGGGTCTTTGTATTGAAAATGATACTATGTATTATAAAATCATTTTCAAGACAAAATCCTATATAATACAGTAATTATTAAATATATATTCCTATTACAAATAGGAGATATAGACTATAATATTGATACTATTATAGTTTCGAATGATACTGCTAAAGAAATTACTCCTCAAGTACAAATTGTAGGTGCAAATATAAAAGGCTCAAACTCTAATAAATTAAAATGTACAAAAAACATACAAGGTAAGTTTGATAAACAAATCCTAAGTATCCTTTTATTAACAAAAATAAATTATAATTTAAAAATAAACCTACTTTTATTCCTAATATCAAAAATAAAGAAACTAATCCAAATCCAAAGCGTACTCTCAGAAGTGCAAAAAGTAATAATAAAAATAAATATTATATGATTTTATATTTTTATTAATTTTTTTAAATAATTTAGAAACAAAAACCTCAATTCTTGGCAATAAAACTGAAGAAACTCTTTCCCAATTTCAAAACACTGAAATAAATATGAAACCTACTAAAGCCACAAAATCAAACCATACTTCAAAGAATATCCAAAGTAATATAAAATCAAAAACTAACCTGAACATCTTCTCTTACTAAAAAATTTCTTTCATATATAAATTCAGGAACTCTAAATGTTACTCCCAAAAATGATGAACAAACTATAAATGTTACTTCCAAAAATGATGAACAAACAGATATTATCGATATTGATAATGATCAACTTACTGATACTGCTGATAGCATATTTGAACTATCTGATGCATATTAGATTAATATAAATAACTCTTTTTTATTTATACTACAATATATATTGTATATATATGTATTCTAAATAGTTAAGCTGATATTATTTTAAAATTTTTTAACATGTAAACCAAAATTATTAAAACGTTCACTTTAAAATAAAAATAAAATCTTTACTTTTAATTAAAACTATGGGTTTAATATGCATCTTAACTATCTACGATTATAATACCCAGTTACGGATTTTTTATTCTTATGCATTCAATATCAGGTTTTTGCAATTCGCATATAATGATATATATTATTAAAAAAGATACATACTATATGCATCTTATTAATAAAACACCTTATAAATCTTAGGTTGAAACTATTAAACAAAACAAAAAAATAATTGTAATTACTAGTAAATACCTTATATTACCAAACAAGATGCTTTATATACAAAAAGATAATTTGAAAATTTATTAAAAAAAATTAAAAAGCTAAACAAATAATAAAAGAATACTCACTAGTCAACCAAAACTTGCTCATTAAATAAAAGCTAATCTTAAGAATTAGATATATTTAAAATATCTAAATTATATTTAAATCATCCTACCTATACTTCTATATTACCGAACAAAGGATTTCATACTCAAAAAATAATTTGAAGATTTGAAAATTTAACTTATTAAAGAAATCAAAAAAAAACAAATTAATTAATTAATTAAAAAATATAAGTTACAAGTTCAACCAAATCTTGCATGTCAAATAAAAAAAGCTAATTTTATAAATTAAATGTGTTAGAATTCTTGAGTTACTTAATTAAGTATTAGTAATTAACTCATCGACTTATATTACTAAATTACGTATATAAATACTCAAAATTATTCCTCTTTCTAATTCAGCTAAAATATCAAATCAAAAATAAAATATAAAAAAATTTAATAAATACAAAACTAATACACTAATTAAATATTACTAAAATGCAAAGATCTATTCACTCTATTCAACATTATGATATATCATCATATAACAATGTCTCCTCTTCTGATTCAAACAATGATACTATAGATACTATCTTTAATTCCTATACATATCATAATGAAATTAACCAAAATATTACAATTGTTCAACCAAATAACTTAATAACAACATCTCATTATAATCAACTAAATATCGCACCTTTGCCCTTTTTATTCTGGAGACCTTCACAACAATTATTAAAGCTTTATGCTGAATTTCAGAATAAGATATTACAAGATCATCTACATATTCTGTGTTGCTATTGCTCTATACTAATGTTTAGTTCTGTGACTCAATAGATTGAATATAATGAAAATGAAGAATATACATTAATATTAGCATTCAAAATTCCTGTCTACCTCCGTGAGTTTAAAGATGAACGACCAACTAAAGTTGCTATTTGTAGTAGCTGTAAACCCCCAAAAACTAGAAGATTCCCTCCAATTCTAGCTCCTACACCCTCTGAAGTTAGTCAAGTACTAATGCTGTATAGAGGTATGGGTAGGATGATTTAAATATAATTTAGATATTTT